TATTTGACTTTGATAGCGAGTGTGTTAAGTCATTTGATACTTTAAAAAATGCTTTAACAACATCTCCTATACTGATCTACCCCAACTTTGAAGAGCCTTTTGTGCTTACAACAGACGCAAGTGCTTTTGCGATATCTGGCGTTCTTTCCCAAGGTCCCATAGGTAAAGATCTCCCGATAGCCTATGCATCTCGTACACTTTGTAAAGCAGAAACGAGATATTCCACCATTGAAAGAGAACTTCTAGCTATTGTCTGGAGTGTAAAACATTTTAGACCTTATTTGTATGGTCGAAAGTTTAAGCTCGTAACAGACCATAGACCCCTTACGTGGCTTTTCTCTTGCCGAGACACCGGAAGTAGATTAGCAAGATGGCACCTCAAGCTAGAGGAGTACGACTATGAAATAGTGTACAAGCGTCAAAATGCCGATGCCCTATCACGTATCAAATTACCCAAAACTGTTAATGCCCTTACCCATAGTGACGAAGAAGGAGAACCTTCTACCCAATTTTCCGAAAGTGAATTTGATATCTTTGCCCGCCTTTACAAAACCACATCCCTGATCGATTATTCCAAAATTCAATTTTCAAATTCCCAACTCCTAGACAAAAGTCATAAACATATCGTCACGTTTTTCAGACAAAACACTCTATCTGATCTTCACGAAAAAATTATCGAAGACATATTCGAGGAAAATCTTGATTTTTCTGCAGATAAAATTAACATCGCGTCTAGCAAAACAATTAAAGATAGAAAATACTATATTATTCCTGTGCCATACGATCCCGTAACTTGCATACAGCATCTTTTCTCTGTAATTTTAACCAACAAAGGTGTATTCGACCTATCCCAACAAATCTACGTTGAAAATAATTTGGACTTACCCATTTTAGAAATTTTCTCTTTTATTTTTTCGGATGATAATATCAAACTTGTCGTTTGCCAAAACGTCACCAAAACTCCTAGTCCCGATGAAATCCCCGTCATTTTAGATCAATACCATTGTGGTAAGAAAAACATTCATCGAGGAATTAATGAAACAATTAGGCGAATTCGTGAACGATATAATTGGCCCGGCTTAACTAAAGACGTTGAGCATTTCATCAAAAAGTGTGAAATTTGTCAAAAGACCAAAATTTGTCGTAAAAACCTCAGTGCCCCTTTTGTAGTAACTGAAACCATTAAAGCCCCGTTCGAAAGAATCAACATTGACATTTTGGAAGTCCCACCTAGATGCTACGCTCTCACAATCCGAGACGAGCTAACAAAATTTTCTCAAGCCTATCCAATTAGCGACAAATCTGCAAAATCTGTAGTAAATACTCTACTTTTATATTTCCAACATTATGGTACACCTCTCCGAATACACTGTGATTACGGAAAAGAATTTGACAACGCCCTCATGAAAGACCTTTGTAGTCTTTATGACATTAAATTAACTTTTTCTAGTGTCAGTCATCCCCAGTCCAATGGCTCGATTGAGCGATTTCACGCCACCTTATTGGAAATGATCAGATCCCATGTATCCGAAAATCCCGACGAACATCCCTTCAATATTCTTCCTTATGCTGTTCAGTGCTACAATAGTACTAGAAATAAAACTACTGGCTTTACACCATACGAGCTCGTGTTTGGCCACACCTCTGGTCGTCCGCCCGAACACGTATATTTAGAAAAAGAATTGATGTCCAAGTATGTTCGAGACATTCGGAATAAACTCGAATATTACTACAAAATTGCCCGCGTGAGAACTGACGAACAGAAGCAAAAAGCAAAAATTCGCTTTGATAGTAGAGTGTCACCCAATTTACAATCATATAAAATTGGCGATAAAGTCTTTGTGAAACAGTCTCAAATTTCAAACAAGCTTCAGAACAAATTTGATGGTTCATTCGAAATTACTCAAGTTTTTGAAAATTCTGCGCTCCTTAAGAACCCGGAAACAAATAGAATAAGTAAAGTTAATTTTGACAGACTGAAACCATGTTTTGAGACTTAGTTTCTCTTTCAGGTGCAGTCTGCTGTTTCTTGCGGCTGTCACAGCCCAGATAGACATCAAACCGCTTAACAACACCTTAGGTATCTATTTTCATGAAGACGCCCCTCTTAAGATTTCCAACGAAATTTTGGACACTCCTTGTATATAAAGACTTAGAACTCATTAAGAAAGCACTTGACGATAACAACAATATTCTGGAACACTTATCATATCTCGTAGACAAACCCACCAATCGTATGAAAATGTTTAGTGGTGAAATTAAAACTCATACAAGTCTCCTTTATCAAATTTCTCGTTCCTTGGAATCTAAATATTACGCAATCTTCGATGACACTGTAAGCGCATCGCGGATGAAACGCGGTCTGATTAACGCTATAGGTACTGTGTGGAAAGCAATAACCGGCAACCTCGATTCATCGGACGGTGAATACTATAACGATTGTATTAACAAAATTTCTAAAGATGAACATGAGCTCGAAAACCTCATGAAGAACCAAATTTCTGTTACCATGTCGGTTATCAAGAATTTTAATAACACTATTCAAAAACTTATGATTGATGAAACTACGTTTAATGAAGATATTAAGGTCATTGAAAACAAAATTTATGAAATTTCAGACGATCTTGCATTTTATGAAGCTAAATTCCAATTTTTAGAAGTTTGCGAACAATTAATGGAAAGCTACATGTTTCTGGAAGAGACAATTAACGATATTCTAAATTCAATTACTTTTGCACGTTTAAAAATAATACATCCTTCTATTATCACTCCTCAAGACTTAGTAAATTCTCTTCAAGAAATTTCTCACACTTTGTCGAGAAATAATTTACCCCTTCCGGTTAATTTAGCAACAGTGTCAGAGTACCTTAATCTTATGGAACTCGAAGCATATCAAACTAAAACAAGAGTAGTATTCGTTCTACGCATCCCGTTATTAGAGCCCGAAATGTATACTTTATACAGAGTGATTCCTCTACCCACTCTCGATAAACGTACTGGTTTGTTTCATGTAGTCTCCACTATACAGAGATACATTGTTAAAGATAGCGATTCTCTTTTGTACGTTTCCTTTCAAAATTTAGGTAGTTGTAAAGTTCTTCGGTCTCAGGTGAAAATCTGTTTCAACCTCTTGCGGTATCCAATAGACAGTAATGCAGTCTGCGAAGCACAGTTGTTGCGAAATCCGGTCGACCGGTCGATCTGCCGACAGCCTGCCAAATAGCAATTGTGGCATTGCAAGATTACAAAATCCAAGAACTTGCAACCAATTTTTTGGCTAATCACCATATCTAGCCCTCTGCCAATTACGATGAAGTGTGGACAACGAGAGACTACCACCAAAGTGATAAAAGTTAATTCACTTTTAAAAATGCAACCCGAAGGCAGTGGCTTTGTAGGCACCACGAGATTACATTCTGGATATTCTGTTAGCACCTACAAGAATATCACATACAAAAGTCACCCTGTAGAAGTACCCTACAAATGCTGTGAACATCTCCCAGAGAAACAAAATTTACCAAAATTAAAACCGATCAAGCTAAGCAAGATCGATACTGAAGAACTCGAAATTGCCAATCACAAATTAAACCAATATTCTGAACAACTGGACAAAATTATGAACGAGCCGTTTGTTTCGAGACATCTCTCATGATTCACGTATTTTATCATCACCCTGTTAGTTATCATCGTAGCTTTGTACCTGTTCTGCAAGTGCAGAAAACGAAGACCACTCAGCATCTGCGCATCAAATTATCCAGCCGATGGCCCATCTACAGGAGCACCAAAAGTCCGGTACATTCCCAGACTTTTTCCTCGACGTAGACCAACCATCCAGCCACATGAAGAAGACATCGAACTGCAATGAGTGTTCCGTGAAGTGTTTTCACTGTTCAAAAAAAAAACCATTTTCAATTTTCGTGTTATCTTCCATGTAATTTTGCCCGTACGACTGTACGATTGTATCTTATTATTTGTTTGTTCCAGCTTTGCTTTTAGATGTTATTTTGCATCGCCAATGTACCGCATTTATGCTAACAATTTTATTTTTCAGAATCTATATTTTTTGATGTTATTTTGCAATTTTATTACTCCTACTTTTATATTTTTATATTTTACAATGTTTACAATTTACATTTCTACATTTTTACATTTTTGAATTTTTACATCTTTTACACTTTTCTAATTTTGTCAAAAGTTGTCGCATGGCAACAACTTTTTGTAATAGGGGAAGTTGTTATATGCACTCAAAACAATGGACTTACTATTCCATACAATGTTGCACCAGACGCTAGCTCAGCAACAGATAACGACTTCTCGCTAACTCGTTGTTTAAGCTTTATTTTCTAGAAGTGCTTTGTAAGCACACCAATAGTATAAATAGGCCTTGCGCCCGTTTCATGTCGTTCAATACCCGGTTAGACTCCGTAAATGTCACATTTGTAAACTTTTGTATTTTATATGGACTGAAAGCTCAGTCCTCAAATAAAGTTTTTTTAAAAAGTTATTTCTAAATCTAATGATTTAAGATATATATATATATATATCACAGTGGGGTGACTTTCTGTCACAGGCATAGTATGTGGCAAGCCTCACCCCATTCAGGTGGTTGACAATTCTCAATTCAAATTTATGGCAGCTATCATTGTTAGTGTATAAAATTCGTACGTTATGTATCTTCAACGTAACAATGGCATCGAGCACATATTCATATTTTTGATGAGCTTTGAAGAAGAATCTATCGTTATCTTTAATGTGAAATTTTAAAATTTCCATAAGGTTGCGAGTATCCGTTTTTCCCACACTATATTTGATACCTTGGCGATACCTTTCCAGAAACACATTTCTTTGATCGCCTTCACTCAGTTGATGGAAAAATTTTATGGCATTACAATATAATGAAACGTAACTCCATTTCTCTTAGTTTTCCATAGTAATTATATCATTTCCGCGCATTCATGTATTTATCATGCGTTGATATTCTCCAATAAAATAACAACAACTCAATATGTCAGGTATTTATTTAATAATAATGCATGGTATAATCCTATAGCAAATTAAATAGATAGTGTTCAATCCTCATACACGAGGTTATATTTGAGGATAATTTTCGGAGGTAAATACCTTGCAATTTCACACAGAACTGATCTAAGGTTATAATTAATCATAGCATTACAAAACTGGTCAATAGTACAATAATCTTCTTGTAGGTACTGCGTGCACAACTTCTGCCCTTCCTCGATTTTCCAAATTAGTCTCCTGACCCTTTCAACCTCGTTATCATCCCAACAAATATTCATGTTGTAGTTTGTTGAATGTTCAGCGTCAAGCATCAAATCCGTTAACTGGCACACTAATCTCATGATAGCTGTACGTAGATCCTTTGAAACAGGCCAATGCAATGATGCATAATGCATCCACATCTTGTCAAACCAGAGGGGGTGTACTGCTTCTGGAAAGATAAATATAATCTCAAAACAACTTTACCTGCTGCATTTTCCTAACCCAGTTCTGATCCGAACCTTTATTTTATACCCAACCTACTACCTCATATTTTTTAACTAATTACTACTGTCAACAAAGTCAAGTTTTATCAAACATTTTGAACGACTACCTGATGTCTTTGGTGAGCTTTGGCCAATATACGCTAAAGAATATTTTTTTGGGTCTCATTTATATCTTTAATCATAATTTGGGACATGTTTTCCAACACTCTTTTGGGTAACCGAACCCTATACTGGTCAGAATCAGAATCAAGGGGGGTTGCTACTAGACATTGTCCAAATTTTGATTGAATACTTGAAATATTCTTAATAGGATAAGGTTTGTTTACAGTTAATGATGATAATGTTCTAGATGGTATATTGTTGTCAGGTACGCAATTTATTTTATTGTTTATTTCATGAAGGCTGGGGTAGTTGATAGAAATTATTTAAAATGAATATAGTGTTGGATAAATAATATAAAAGGATGCTCACCAAATTCTATCTGTTAGGTACTTCAAGAATATTATTTAGTCACTTCTCGACGTTAAATGATTTGAATGATCATAGCTATGGTTGTTTCACCTTTTATATAATATCTAGCAGATTTGGATTACGTTACAGACAGGCGCATACAAGACATTTGAACAACCCCTTATAAACTTCAGGTAGTCCACAAAAAATATACTCTCAACATTTCGGTTATACACCAAAAAACTACTAAGAGGCTTTTCAATCAGCATGGCCATTGGGGGGCAACAATGCCTTAACACGTCACCCCGCCCCTTCCATCGACTCTTTTCTATTATAAAACGCGTTTATGATCGGGGGCAGAACCGCTAAAATGTTTTACAGTTCTTGATAGGGGACCGAACTGCTGAGAGGTCTTACAATTAGCATGGTCATTGAGAGGGCAACAATGCCTTCCGTCGAGGTATTTATACGATACGAAATATGTCGAACATCGGCAAGGTAGGCGGGAGTATCAGTTAACCACACCTTCCGTCGACTCATTTCTATTATACAACGCGTTCTTGAAAGGGGACCGAACTGCTGAGAGGTTTTACAATTTGCATGGTCATTGAGAGGACTCATAACTCAAACACCACCCTCCCCGCCTACCCCTCACACACCTACACCCCCTCTCCGCGGACGTTTTCCTTGCGCCAATGCACTGGTAATCAGTCACAGAACTCTGATAATAGTCCAGTAAATATCGGAACATCTGTTCGGAAAATTTTTCCGATCCCGATTTTTGCATAATCTGATTCAAGGACCCCTGTGTTAAAGACTCTGCATGTGACTAGTTCCAACATTTCTATGTAATAACAATTTTTTGAGCAATTTTGGCCTAGTCACATGCAGATTCTTTAACACAGCGATCCTTGAATCAGATTGTGCAAAAATCGGAATCGGAAAATTTTTCCGAGCAGATGTTCCGATGTTATCTTTACTATTATCCGAGTTCTGTGAATGATTACCAGTTCATTGGCGCAAGCATGTGGGGAGGGGCCACTTGTCAATGTCGAGGCTGGTCCGCAAGTCCACGTAGCACAAAAGCCACAAAACACTCTTTCAACTGCTACCTTGACGTTAAACATATGATTTTATTAGTGTGTTTAATGTTGATGTTGTCGCCATTGCTACATTGACAATCCTGGACGCGCATGCGCATTAAATGCTAATTTTCTTAAGTTAAGTCACGTTAAGTCTTGCATGAACCCACCTTTACTCCAGTGTGATCCACTTGATGTAAACTAAGACTTACTTGCTCTATACAGGTGGTGGTCAAAGCTGTATCTTCTAACTGCTGTATTGGTGGCAAAGCAAAAGTTGAAGGAGGAAATTATAATGTAGAAAGTAAGTATAACAAAATTGTAAATTCCAAATGGTTAAATGTTGGAAATGGCTAAATGTCTTCACAGATTAATGGTGGGTTCATGTAAGACTTAACGAAACTTAACTTAAGAAAATGAGCATTTAATGCGCATGCGCGGCTAGGATTGCCAATGTAGTAATGGCGACAATATTAACATTAGACATACTAATAAAATCATATGTTCAACGTCAAGATAGCAGATGACAGTGTTTTGTGGCTTTTGTGCTACGTGGATTTGCGGACCAGCCTCGACATTGACAAGTAGCCCCTCCCCACACGCTTGCGCCAATGCACTGGTAATCAGTCACAGAACTGGGATAATAGCCCAGATAATATCGGAATATCTGTTCGGAATTTTTTTTGCATAATCTGATTCAAGGACCCCTGTGTTGAATAATCTGCATGTGACTAGGCCCAAAATTGCTCAAAAAATTGTTATTAAACAGATTCCAAAAATTGGTTTGCTCGCTTTGTTTAAAGTATTTTGCGGTTTCTAGGACATTCTGAACCAAAAATTAGCTTTAGAACTTTTCTCTGGACTTGATATATATATAAGCAATGTAAAAATGAATATTTTGATGTTGCCAAATCTCACACATGCTTCAACCAACCAATAACAAAACCCCCAGAGCATTTTAGGGAGTAGTTATTGTAAATATTTGCACTGTAATAATTGTGAATTGAATGCGCGCTCAATGTATAGTCTGTGATCGCGAGAGAGAGATGAAATATCTCTCGTGCATGCTGAATATACATTGAGCGTGCGCTTGCTTATCAATTACATACAAAGGTTTATAATAAAAGTATCTCCTAAAAGGTATCGCAATTGTGTTAATGATTATTTATGAAGCATGGCGACATTCACATTTTCGTTTTTTTCGGATCTTTTTTCGGTATCGCAAAATCAACTATAGTCAAACATCGTTTCGTTTCGGAGTATTCAAAAAAACGAATACTTCCTTTAATGAAGCGAAAACATTAATTTTTGGAATTCATTTGTAAAAGTTGTGCAAACAATAGAGGCTCAATTTGGGGCCTGACAATAAGTAGATTTGTTACAAGGAGGCTTTTTAGAATAACATACAAATCCGAATATTTTCCCGAGCAGATGTGAAGATATTTCTTGGACTATAACCTCGACAGCGGCGCCACCTTGGCGGGAAATCTGGTGGAACTATAAATATTGAAAGTATGCCGACAACACATATCAGGAATGTCAGGAATGTGCCGGCGATTTCATTGGTTTACGCTACGAAATCTGACTGACGAGCTTCCAGATATTGAGGCAGTTCGATGATCATCATCTACTTTAAAACGAGGATAGACCCAGCAAGTCATTCATAAAACTACATTCGGTTTGTTGACGACATAAACAAAGCACAAAGTGGCGGCGAGGGGCTATGAGGGAATGAGAGGGGAACAATAAAATGGTCGCCGCATGAGAATTCAGGCTGTGAAACCTAACGTCACTGAAGACTCTAATCAAATCCAAGCGAATAACCAAAATTTCTGTTATGTGCCGCAGTTACAATATGGTTCAAGATGACACACGGGTTGATGACGTCAGTTACACGAATCGCATGAACGTGTTGGTTTTAACCGCGGTTTTGTTACAAGTTGCTTATTTTAGAAAAGCGCGTATATAATCTCTGAAGAGAGACGAGAAAGCACCGATTATTAAGTGATAATAAAAATAATCAGAGATTATATAAGCGCTTTTCTAAAATAAACAACTTGCAACAAAACTGCGGTTAAAACCAACGCGTTCAAGCGATTCGTGTAAGTGACGTCATCAATCCGTGTGTCATCTTGAACCATATTATAACCGCGGCACATAACACAGTAATTTTGGTTATTCGCTTGGATATGATTATTACAGCGACCCAACAGCAACTTACTAGCGATTTGAACTGTCAAATTAACAACTGCTCAGTGGTAGTCGACTAGTCGGTGGCTAGTGTTTTGTTTGAATAACATTGTCAAAACTATTCATTTTTTTAACAAGAAAGGTAAGTATAACAAGTTCAAATAAGGAATAAAATAGCTTGACGAGTCTAAGAAGTGATTGTATGCTCCCAATTTGTATTTTCAGCAATTTTGATTCTCTGGATGGCTCGTGCATTTTTACTTATGGAGCATTGGAAAGCGAAAGAATGCACGATCAAAGACGGCAAACTTCTCGCCTACGACGTATTTTTCAGTATCTATGACTTGAAGTTCATAGTGATTATCAAATAAGCTTACTTGCACCTTCCTACCGCAGTATAGAAACATATTGGTTTTAGGTATTAGCAGCACTTCTGGTGCTGGCCGCTGCTTCCTGCCAGAAACATATTGGCATGGGTTATTTACATGGGTTCAGTCAACCTAGTGTATCCAAAGCACTACATCTTCCAGACATTCTATCTAAGCATATTTACTTCCCTCAAACACTGTCAGAGAGGATAGTAATTATATTGCCATGCATATTAAGAAGGTGAGAATGCATATCAAAATTGTATGGTGGATCATTAACTGAGAAACATATGAGTTCAGCTACATCAAAAATTTTCAACACATGGAAGTTTACATTACCTGGTAAAAATTCCATCGCTGTGGAAGTTGAATTTCCTATTAACAAGAGTAATAAGTTAACCCGTAACTGGTGAGGTTGGGTGTGAGATACCCAGGCAAAGTTTTAGTACGCCACTGGCAACATATGCTGACACCGAGGGCGCTGCTGTTGCTAGTACCTTCAAGTCAGTATACCGCCTGGCGGCTGCGAGTGTGTGTAGTCCGCTACCAAAGCGGTGTCCGAGCTTATTCGCGAAATTTTGGAAACTCGGGTATCTTTTACCCGACCTCACCAGTTACGTAACAGTCCGGCGTATTTTCTGTTTTTTATTTTTGCTTGCCATAGCATCTAGAAAGCTTTCTATGTAACCAAGTGACCCTGGTTTTTTTGAGTGGACCACAGCTGTATTAGATGAGCTTGAGAGTGAATGCAGTGGCGATGAAGGAGACATAACAAACCAAGTTTTCCAAAGTGACCACGCTAGTGCATCAGAACAAGAAGCATCTGACAATGAGGTCGAAGTTAGTTATGTTCCTGGTCCTTCAAGTCGCCCTTCATCAGTCGTATCATGGCCACCCATCAAAACTGATAGCTCAGATTCTTCTGATATCGAGCCTCTTGCAAGAAAGCAAAGATGTCTATGAAACCAATCCAAATATCATGGTCAAAATGGCTTCGTATGGACGAAACAAGCACCCACTTCAAATATTCGTACAAGAAGTCACAATATTATCACCCATCTTCCAGGTTGAATTGGTCCAGCAAAAGTACTTGGTTCATTTTGTAGGCCCCAGTCTCCATGGGAACTTCTGTTTAGTGAGGAAATTTTAGACGAAATAAGACGACGCACCAATGAAAAATTGGCGATGATTAGAGAAACTTTGTCTGATAATACTAGTACTGACTATAGAGACACTGACTTGATTGAGTTCAAAGCGTTCTTGGGAATCCTACGTTTTGATGATGCATTAGATAGAGAGGAGAGAAAAATATCTGACGCAACGGCTGCCATATCATGGGTATTCAAAAAATTTCTGGAAAACTGTCGTAATTGCTACTCAATTGGAGAGTATGCTTGTGTTGACGAGATGCTAGTTGGATTTCGCGGTCGATGCCGTTTCAAAATGTATTTTCCAAATAAGCCAAGAAGTATGGAATTAAAATAATTGCACTCACAGATGCAAAAACACACTATTTACTAAATGCGTACATCTATTCCGGAAAGGAAAGTGATGGCAGGACACTTACCGATGACGAGCGGAAGCTTTCCAAACCAACGCAGGTGGTACTGCAACTAACTGAACCGATTGTCGGTTCTAACCGGAACATTACGGCGGATAATTGGTTTTCCTCTATAGATCTTGTTCAGGAACTAAGAAAAAGAGGCTTGACTTACGGAGGAACTCTGCGTAAAAATAAAAGAAAGATTCCAAAAGAGTTTCTACCTGCGAAACAAAGAGAAGTACGAGATATCCTTTACGGCTTTTCCAATGACATAACACTAGTTTCCTCTGTTCCAAAAAAAGGGTAAGGCTGCTATTTTTGTTTTTTCAATGCACCATACTCAAGCAACCGATTTGGAAACCCAAAGCCGGAAATCATTGCTTTTTACAACAGCACGAAAGGTGGGGTCGATGCATTAGATGAGAAGTGTACAGTCTATTCTCCAAGTCGCCGCACCAGACGATGGCCGTTAGCGATATTCCACACATTGTCGAACGTCAGCATGGTGAATTCTTACATTATACAGGTATATTCCGCATGTCCTGGTAACCCAAAGGTATCCAGGCTCCAGTACATCAAACTACTTGCCAGAGAACTTGTGCAGCCTTATCTGAGTCACAGACTTCTAAACACACGCTTGCCTCGAGAACTACGACTCAGCATCAGTAAAATATTGCAAAAACCACTTCCACAAGAAACCAGACAGAAGTTGGACAAACAAGTAAGATGCAGGAAGTGCCCACCTGGCTCTGACAGAAAGACAAAGAAAATCTGCAACACGTGCAAGGAGCCAATTTGCGGAAGCTGTATTGTTCCCATGTGTCGCGAATGCATCGAACAATAGCTTCCATTTTAATTGTTTGTGCTATTTTATAATGCGAAAACATGTTATTTAGGTTTAGTTTTACTAGAGTAAGAATGTTATGATTTTTTTTTTAGTAAAATTCATAAAAAAAGTATCAAAATGTTTGATTACAGAAGTGAATGTTAATTTGTCATTTTCTGTGTGCAGTTACTATATTTTCTTTGATTATATTTCTTTTTGTAATGAAAACATTTCAGAAGTGTAAATATAAGCAACTTTCTCGATTTTCAATGAAATGTTTCATTTGTTCCAACTCGGTTGTGCATGGTAAAGACTGGGTATCTGTAACCCAACGTCGCCAGTTACGTTACAATAAAGTCACCTCACCAGTTAGGGGTTAATATTCATCAATCCTAAGATCAATACCTCAGACTCATTATCTGTGAGATTAACATACCGATTTCAGCACTAATATTTACTTTGATTTTTTGACTAGTTTTAATTATTATTATATGCCTGCTTGAAGATGAGTAATAATGAAAGATATATTTTTACAGGTGACTCTGGACATCCATTAAGAATCGGTCTTACCAGAAATACCATAGGGTGATGCACAGGAGTATTTACTCTCTACATGAGTTTTACTAACACATGAAAGTATCTGTTATTTAAATTCTTTTAAGCTGTTAATCATTTCGTTATCAGTGAATTGTCTATTATCGTGGAGTAAATGTATTTTAATTTCACTTTTTATTCGAGTTTTAACGAAAGTATGTATGTTTTCTTTTTAAGCTTTTAACCATTTGTCCTCACTGCTCGATGTTTATTGCGTTTATATATTATGTATTTCTAACAGATTCTCCTACCGCTTTTCTTTGTATCAGCTTCAATGATTTTGACCGGCTAGACGAACATTTGTTGTGATAAAAAAAGTCGCTGTATATGTATATATTTTTAAAGTTACAGATTGAACACATTACGATTCTTGCGCTGTACCTATAATGTGATTTAACCTTTTAAAATGTTTTGCAATTGTAATGTCCTTATTTATTTTATAATTATAAGTATTTTCCTGGCATATTTGCTCAAACGCATATAGGACCCTCAAATTGATATTGACAAGTCTTATATAATGTAACATGATCTAATAGGACAATAAACTATCTATCTATCTATTAAAATTTGTATTATCTACTGTATCGAACATTTTAAATTTCCATGAAATAATGTTCATTGTCATATGCTTATGCTTAATGATAGCTCTGCTTTAAAAAGGTTTTATCAACCACTGTAAAGAAAAAGTTAATGTTTATAGAATTAGTTTTCTAGGAAAGTTTATTTTCACATGTCCATATTCAACAATATCTATTTTAGAGGATTTGGAACAAGCCTAAAAGTATGCTTTGAGTGAAGATCAAGAAAAGTTGCAAAATGCATTTGTAACAAAAAGCAATGCCTTTTTAAAATATAGTTATAAAACTACTGATCTTCTTTTTGTAATAGAACCCACAACTTTTTTATCAATTTAAGCATTAATGGTACTAAATACAATCGTAAAAATTTCAAAAAAAAACTCGGTGTTCCACAATCACTCAAACAGCCTAGAACTTCGCCGACCGTCAACCGACTCGAGTTGGTCGATAGCTGCTGTCAAACGCAAATTTCGTATTATGTATCAGTCAGCGCGTCTCAATCGCCGACCGGCTACGGTGGCGCCTCTATGGAGCAACTGGTGAACGGAAAGTGCATTCTTTTGTTAGGAGTATCAAAAAATTGGTATTGCCTAACTCATTGACAGCGACCCAACAGCAACTTACTAGCGATTTGAACTGTCAAATTAACAACTGCTCTGTGGTAGTCGACTAGTCGGTCGCTAGTCGGTTGCTAGTGTTTTGTTTGGATAACATTGTCAAAACTATTCATTTTTTTAACAGAAAGGTAAGTATAACAAGTTCAAATAAGGAATAAAATAGCTTGACGAGTCTAAGAAGTGATTGTATGCTCCCAATTTGTATTTTCAGCAATTTTGATTATCTGGATGGCTCGTGCATTTTTACTTATGGAAGCATTGGAAAGCGAAAGAATGCACGATCAAAGACGGCAAACTTCTCGGCTACGACGTATTTTTCAGTATCTATGACTTGAAGTTCATAATGATTATCAAATAAGCTTACTTGCACCTTCCTACCACAGTATAGAAACATATTGGTTTTAGGTATTAGCAGCACTTCTGGTGCTAGCCACTGGTTCCTGCCAGAAACATATTGGCATGGGTTATTTACATGGGCTCAGTCAACCTAGTGTATCCAAAGCACTAAGGGAAATGGTGGATGCATTAAATCATCCAGACATTCTATCTAAGCATATTTACTTCCCTCAAACACTGTTAGAGATTATAGTAATTATATTGCCATGCATAATAAGCAAGTGAGAATATAAATTGATTTTTCATTAATTAAATTAATCAAATTTAAATTTATCCAGGAGTTATGTACTTACACTAAATGGAATTTGAAGTTCAGTATCTTCAAATACTGCTGCTGTTCCCAATATGGCCATATCTAATTCAGATAAGTTATCAACATTAGCACCCTCCACCAGTACCTGTAGCATAGTGCCTATATTGTGCAGCTCTAGATTGTATCCTATGTTTAAGGTCTATCCAATACTGTAAAAAAGTATTATTGTATTAGTACATGAATAAAACCATATGGAACATGGAACAAAATGCCTTATTATAACCTACAGTACTAATTCAAGAAAATGATCCATAGAATCTGTGTAAACTATGTTTGCAAATATTAAAAGATGGTAGCAACTATTTGGAAAAATACAAATACATTGAATCAAATAAACTATTTTCTACCCGTAGAGTACAAAAGAGTTTCATATAAAGTCTCATCTAATAAGAATTGAATTACTGAAAAAATGGATAAACGTCATCGTTTCTCAAGTTACTTAAAAAAAAAGTTTTGGATAGAATATTGTGAAAACGTAGTCTTTGGGAACAATTGTGCTATTACACTGTTAAAGATCATTTTCTATTAATCAACATTGCATTTTTTCCTCTATGAAAAGTTCTACAACTTTTTTGAATTTATCTAATGAAAAGAGGGATACAACAGAATAATGACCATAGCAAAAGGTTGTAATCTTATAATGACCTCATCGATTTGCAATGTTGAGATTATATTTCATTTTGAAAATTAACACAAACACCTCCTAGTCAGACAAAATCTCAAACACAAATAAACACTATGTTCACGTTTTCTGATGCATTTGCAGCCTTTAATTAACAAGCAGTCATCTAGAACTATATAGGTAAGTGCCAGCAAGTGCTGATTCATTTAGAGCAGGGCTGTCCAACTTAATCTGGCCCAAGGGCCACTTAAAAAAAATGCAGTTTGGAGGGCAGCATTATAAAATCTTTCTATACAACATTATTACTGAGGTTGAATAGGTATATACTATACTATATGGTATACAAATATGTATACATGAACCGTGAGGCGGGCTGCAAGAAAGGAGTTCGCGGGTCGCATGCGGCATGTTGGACAGCCCTGATTTAGAGAAACATCTGGCACTTGTCAATAAGCTGTTTTCATCCTCGCGTTATTTTGCATCACTCTTTCTGTCTTGAGATAAGTCTTCAAGGCTAATCTATGTGAAACTGTGTCATCTATTTGTCGACAAATGACTGTGTATTTATTAAGTGTGTATCAAGGGGCCACTCTTGACTTATGAAAACATCCATACATCTGCGGCTCACACAGACATTCATTTTTAAGAACGGGCCATCGTATTATATACTTACGTGTTCAATTTTCAACAAAACCAGGTCCCATAGTTAATTTTAAATTCACAATCACGATCCACAATGTATTTATTTATTTTTCGATTTATAAACACGACGATTGTTTATCATATGTATGTCACTTTAGTTCCACCGGTTGCTACTCGATTGCTAGTGGCGCTGTTCGGTCGCAAAAACTGCATTCAAATTGCATTCAATGACAGTTGGGCAACCGGTCGCCAACTGCGTTAGCGAATACGAATTTTTCGGTCGGTCGACAATCGGTCGCAAGTCGGTTGCTCACCGATCAGAGCCTGCCCAGGCTTATTATGTAAAAATTTCCAACTCTGATCGGTGAGCAACCGACCACCAACCGACTTGCGACGGATTGTCGACCGACCGAAAAATTCGTATTCGCTAACGCAGTTGGCAACCGGTTGCAAAACTGTCATTGAATGCAGTTTTTGCGACCGAAACAGCGCGACTAGCAATCGAGTAGCAACCGGTGGAACTAAAGTGACATACATATGATGATAAATAATCGCCGTGTTTATAAATCGAAAAATAATAATTAAATACTTTGTGGATCGTGATTGTGAATTTAAAATTTTCTATGGGACCTAGTTTTGTTGAAAATTGAACACGTAAGTATATAATACGATGGTCTGTTCTTAAAAATGAATGTCTGTATGAGCCGCAGATGTATGGATGTTTACATAAGTCAAGAGTGGACCCTTGATACACACTTAATATATACACACAGTCATTTGTCGACAAATAGATGACAGTTTCACATAGATTAGCCTTGAAGACTTATCTCAAGACAGAAAGTGCGATGCAAAATAACGCGAGGGTGAAAACAGCTTATTGACAAGTGCCAGATGTTTCTCTAAATCTAAATCAATCAGCACTTGCTGGCACTTACCTATATAGTTCTAGATGACTGCTTGTTCATTAAAGGCTGCAAATGCATCAGAAAACGTGAACATAGTGTTCATTTGTGTTTGAGATTTTGTCTGACTAGGAGGTGTTTGTGTTAATTTTCAAAATGAAATATAATCTCAACATTGCAAATCGATGAGGTACTTGTCTTTGCTGAAATTCATCCTAATTTAGCTAAGGACAGTGTTGGGCTTGGAGGGAGATCAAAGGAGACAATTAATAGAAAGTGGGACAAATTAGCGATATGTCTGAATACTCATGGATCTGGAGCTACAAAAAATGGACAATGCTGGAGAAGGGTGAGTTTATGTTACATTTTGTTATTCATCCTTTTGTCATCGCTAATTCATAATTTTTATAATTGTGCTGAATCTTATTTTTCATTATAAGATTACAACCTTTTGCTATGGTCATTATTCTGTTGTATCCCTCTTTTCATTAGATAAATTCAAAAAGGTTGTAGAACTTTTCAGAAAAAATGCAATGTTGATTAACAGAAAATTATCTTTAACAGTGTAATAGCACAATTGTTCCCAAAGACTACCTTTTCACAATATTTTATCCAAAACTTTTTTTTATTTAAGTAACTTGAGAAACGATGACGTTTATCCATTTTTTCAGTAATTCAATTCTTATTAGACGAGACTTTATATGAAACTCTTTTGTATTCTACGGGTAGAAAATAGTTTGTTTGATTCAATGTGTTTGTATTTTTCCAAATAGTAGCTACCATCTTTTAATATTTGCCAACATAGTTTACACAGATTCCATGGGTCATTTTCTTGGATTAGTACTGTAGGTTATGTTCCATAGTTTTATTCATGTACTAATACAATAATACTTTTTTACAGTATTAGATAGACCTTAAACATAGGATACAATCTAGAGCTGCACAATATAGGCAGGATGCTACAGCTACTGGTGGAGGGAGTTAATGTTGATAACTTATCTGAATTAGATATGGCCATATTGGGAACAGCAGCAGTATTTGGAGCTACTGAACTTCAAATTCCATTTAGTGTAAGTACATAACTCCTGGATAAATATAAATGGGATTAATTTTAATTAATGAAAAATCAGTTTATATTCTCTATCTCTATTGCCCACTTAGTTACACCACATTTAATTTGATTTTACTTCCTGGCACTCCACATCATCTTCTAACACTTGATCACAAGTACAAAGTTCTGCTTCAAATGGAAAAAATACAAATTTTTATTTTAATTTTTCACTAGTGATGATCTTGTTTTAGAATGAAAAATTGCATATGAATTCAGTTTCTACTTGGTATTGCTTCATAACTTCAGATATTAATTAAAAGCTTTTTGATTTTCAGAACCAGCTCCTTCATCTTCAGCTGTTGAGCCACCATCAGATATAGAATTACAAATAGCTAGGTAGGGTGCATGAAAGTTGTATGCAGGCAGAGACAGCATTAATGCATCTTCAAAAATTTCACAAGAAATTTGGTCAAGCATCTAAAAACTTCAAACCTGATTGAAATTTAGAAAGGATAAAGTATTTTTATGATTATTGTTTACTTGTGTGACCTAATCTTTGTCATTTTAATAAAAGATATTTGCACAAATCAATTTACTATATTATTCCTATCGCTGTTGTGTAACAGTGCCCTATTTTTTTGTATTAAAACTACTTCTCTTAAATCATTTCATAAAAATCACTAACTTATTTTTTGTAATGGCACCTCCAATCCATGAATCATTTATAACTCTTTAATACAGTAAAAAGTTTGTCTCTCAACATATTTTTAAGACAATACGATTTTTTTTATTGTACTTAAAATAATTGCTTTACAAATTGATGAAAATAAAATAGGAGTCATTAAAAAAATTGTAATTGTAGAAATGCATTTGATACATTTTTTAAAGAGAATTGGTCCCCATTAGAAATACATTTAGCGATTTGTACTAATCTTCACAAGCGGCGAAGTTTTAGTCTGTTTGAGTGATTGTCGAACACCGGGTTATTTTTTTTAATTTTTACGATTGTATTTAGTACCATTGATGCTTAAATTGATAAAAAAGTTGTGGGTTCTATTACAAAAAGAAGGTCAGCGGTTTTATAACTATATTTTAAAAAGGCAGTGCTTTTTGTTACAAATGCATTTTGAAATTTTTCTTGATCTTCGCTCAAAGCGTACTTTTAGGCTTGTTCCAAATCCTCTAAAATAGATATTGTTGAATATGGACATGTGAAAATAAACCTTCCTAGAAAACTAATTCTATAAACATTAACATTTTCTTTCCAGTGGTTGATAAAACCTTTTTAAAGCAGAGCTATCATTAAGCATAAGCATAAGACAATGAACATTATTTCATGGAAATTTAAAATGTTCGATACAGTAGATAATACAAATTTTAATACACCTGTGCATCGCCCTATGGTATTTCTGGTAAGACCGATTCTTAATGGGTGTCCAGAGTCACCTGTAAAAATATATCTTTCATTATTACTCATCTTCAAGCAGGCATATAACAATAATTACAACTAAAGTAAAAAAAATCAAAGTAAATATTAGGGCTGAAATCAGTATGTTGCCTAAAATATGTGAAATATTAAGACTCGGATTTGTTGCTGTATTGTTAATCTCACAGATAATGAGTCTGAGGTATTGATCTTAGGATCGATGGATATTGACTTATTACTCTTGTTAATAGGAAATTCAACTTTCACAGCGATGGAATTTTTACCAGGTAATGTAAACTTCCATGTGATGAAAATTTTTGATGTAGCTGAACTCATTAGTTTCTGAGTTAATGATCCACCATACAATTTTGATATCTCACTTTCTTAATATGAATGGCAATATACTTACTATCCTCTCTGACAGTGTTTGAGGAAGTAAATATGCTTAGATAGGATGTCTGGATGATGTAGTACTTTGGATACACTAGGTTGACTGAGCCTATGTAAATAACCCATGCCAATATGTTTCTGGCAGGAACCAGCGGCCAGCACCAGAAGTGCTGCTAATACCTAAAACTAATATGTTTCTATACTGCGGTAGGAAGGTGCAAGTAAGCTTATTTGATAACCACTATGAACTTCAAGTCATAGATACTGAAAAATGCGTCGTAGGCGAGAAGTTTGCCGTCTTATTTGAACTTGTTATACTTACTTGTTAAAAAAATGAATAGTTTTGACAATGTTATCCAAACAAAACACTAGCAACCGACTAGTCGACTACCACAGAGCACTTGTTAATTTGACAGTTCAAATCGCTAGTAAGTTGCTGATGGGTCGCTGTCAATGAGTTAGGGAATACCAATTTTTTGATACTCCTAACAAAAGAATGCACTTTTCGTTCACCAGTTGCACCATAGAGGCGCCACCATAGCCGGTCGGCGACTGAGACGCACTGACTGGTAAATAATACGAAATTTGCGTTTGACAGCAACTATCGACCAACTCGAGTCGGTTGACGGTCGGTTGGAAGTTAGGTAATAAGCCTGCGGACGTCGGTTTTTTTACCGACCTCGCCTGGCGGTGACGTTTGTGACTTGCACGGAGACACACTCATCGTCAAGTCTACCGACCGACGGCGACGCGACGGCCCACTCTGGTGGTTGATCATGGCCGACATGGATGTTGTTATTGACAATGAATTGTTGATCCATTGTGTCCAAATAAGGCCTGTTCTGTGGGACAAAACATTGGAGAGTTTCAAAGATCGGAACGCCACAAGAAATGCGTGGCATGCAGTTTGTCTCGGACTGCTGAAGGATTTTGACAACCTGGAAGACAGCAAAAAGAATGACTTTGGTAAGTACAAATAATGGTAATGCGATTGAATTGATTTCAAATATATTTTTTTGTAAATTTATTTCACTAACAACTATCGAGATGATAGTATTTAATTTATTTTTAATTTATGGATTCAAAAAATGAAGGCATCTAAACAAAAGTAACTAAAAAAACCAAAATTAACTTAATAAAAGTGAATTAACCAATCTTGATAATTGCTTGTGTTTTCTCGTTTCACGAATCGGGGCCCTCAGATCTTTGACATCTGCCAAGGAATGCTTCCAACACTTGACATGAAGTACTTGCAGATAATGTTTCTCACGTTGTTGGCTGTCAAACCTCCTCTTGTATTGCACGGTACTTGAATATCGTCAAGTCCTGTAATTGATGTAGTATCATCAACTACGTACCCATATCTATCTCTTACATAATTATGTAGCACAATACAGGCTTTGACAATGTCTGTAGCAAAATCAGGATGTACATTTAAGGGACGGTGGAAAATTCGCCATTTATTACTGAATATTCCGAAGGCGCATTCTACGTGTCTTCTTGCTCTACATAGTCTGTAGTTAAACACCTTCTTTTCAACAGTCAAGTGGGTGCCAGCGTATGGTCTCAACAAATGTTTATGTAAGCCGAATGCTGCGTCAGCAACAAAGAAATAAGGTACTTTCGGGATTTCTGTTCCTGGAAGGCACATTTCCTCCGGTAGATTATGTGAACCACTTAGAATTGATTTCCACAGCTTAGAATCCTTGAAAATACACGAGTCACAGTCTTTTCCATAACTTCGAAAGTTCACGTAAGTAAATCGGTACGAACTGTCTACGATAGCCATTAACACGATTGAATAATATTCTTTATAATTGAAGAATATTGAGCCACTTTCCGCTGGACATACGAGACGGATGTGCTTTCCATCTATCGCACCCACACAATGAGGGAAATTTGCTACCGATTCAAATCCCTTTGCTGATTTCTCCCAGGTTTCTTTAGTGGGTGGTGGTATGCACTCACTTTGTACAACTAGCCACAGAGCTTGACAGACCTCTTTAACAATCAATCTTGCTGTAGATCGTCCAATTCTGTATGAATAATGGAGATCGACAAATGTGCATCCACTGGCCAAGTACCTAAAAAGAAAAAGCATCATTTTAGTGTCAGTGCAACAATATAGTTAACATGGTGTATGTAGTCAATTTACTTCCTAAGTTTGTTTTACTATTTTTTTTTCAGGTAGTTAAGTGATGAAAAGGTGGAAACATTTACGTGATGCTTTTATCAGATCAGAAAAGAATTGCAAACAATCTAAAGCAAGTGTTTCACAGGCCTCCAAGAGAAAAAAATACATTTTTAACGACGAGCTACAGTTTCTGCGCAAAATATACAAGGAAAGAGAAATAGAAGAGAGTTATGACAACGAAGATGAGGAGATTGCAGGACCCAGTGCTGCGTCAGTACTAAGGGAAGTGACTGAAATTGAAGGCTCAACAAAGCAGTTGTTTCAAAAGCAAAACCGCCTACAAGACAACATAAAAAGATGGATGATGTCGACTTGAAAATTTTGCGGGCAATGGAGCAAACAGAACCGAAAAAAAACGACAAATTGCAATTCTTTGAAAGCTTGCTGCCTCATGTAGACAAATTTGACGACAACCAGTGGCTTCAATGCCAAACGGAATTTCTCAAAGTAATTTCTAAAATCAAAAATTCATACCCCTGCATACCTCAACCCCGCAATGTACAGAACCATTCTACTTCCCAGATACAGCAGTTTAATCAACAATCCAACCTTACCCAACCTGTCAACGTTCCCTACATGTCTCAACGAGCATTTGCGAATCAAATGCTGTCCCCTCAGTATCCAGCACAACATATGACCTGCTCCTCTTCCACAAATTTCCAGCATATTTCAAATGAAACCCAGGATAAAAGTTTTGCTTGTTAAATGATCAGGGATGATAATGTTCAGCCTTGTCGCAGCCCTTCTGTAGCTTCTTCATCAACCACAATTGATTTCACAGAATTGTAATTGAACGTCATCAACTATTGCCAAAAATGTAATACAATGTTGTAACTTATTCTGAGCAGAAATATATGGTTTTATAATATAAAAGTTGTCTGGTGATTGTATTCTTATTATTCTCAGTTTTACTTACCTTAAAGTTATTGCCAGCATTTCCACCCGTAGTGGCAGCCGGCGGCAGCATTTCTACCGTCGGCGTTGAAAAATCCGATCGTCTATTTTAACGCTGAATGTGTACATCGCCTATAACTTATCCATAACCGTCGGTTGACCAAACACCACATTCCACAGCATATTTCGTCGCACCCACAACTTTTCCGCAGGTTAGGTAACATGTCATACTTCATCGTATTTGATCAATTTTGTTTAAATACCATTTTAATACTATACGATTTGATACATCACGTTACTTTTAGGATCATTTTTAATTTGAGTTGAGACCATCCGTTTCATCAACTAATTCATCTAGTATTAAATATCAGACATGTCCCTCTATTATCTGACAAGACAATTAGCGAACCTACATAGAAAAGAAGTACAGCAACCTTTAACATGAAAAATTAAATCAGAAAAACTAGACTATCGAGTTAAAAATATAATAGACATCCTATGATAATTATGAGATATTTAACATGTGACATTTATTTAGTTCTATTCGTCTTTATAGATTTGCAAATTCTGGTATGACGATTTCCATATCGCAGTAAATAATGGGTATGTTTTAGTATTTACCGGTGCCTATCGTCAGCAGTATTACCTATTGACACGGCGATGGGCTAATTGCTCTTTTTTTAGGAAAATAAACATATACTCTGTCACGCAAGATTTGTTTCATTGTATTGCCATTGCCTGTATGTTTTCGTATATTCTTATAACCTTGAATTTTGGGATACAAAGACACACTGGCACGAAATTCTTTATATGGTGCAATTTTTTTTACACTTCAGTTACTGCCAATAGTTTCTAGTTGCCAAAATTTTATTTAAAAGTTATATAAAAAGGCACTAATAGTTATTTATGCATTTATCGCGTTAAGGTTTAAAAATTGAAAATATGAAGAAAAATTGAACAGTCGTGTCAGTGGAACTTGCGGCACGCCCTAACAACGAATATGATGCAATGTCTGCCCGTGGAGTCCGTTGGATGATTTAATGTCCAAAAAGCCTATTCACAAAGTCCAATTTATCGCCCGGTCGTAGATAATCAATGTTGATTGTGTACTAGGCGTATGTATCTATTGGGGTTTGAACAAAGTTCCCAACGTTTGTTATCTTCTCAATAGTACGGCTACGTATACAATGTGTTTGGTCACGACATACCGATATTTAAGGGGGGTATTTTTCAGCTATTTTTATCGACAAATCCACCCCCTACAATGTCCTACCTCACCCCTCTTGAAATGGCATTCATTTTTATTTTTCCGTTACGATTACGCTAGTGCATGTATGAAATTGTAATAACTAAGTACATAAGTGTCACAGAACGATAAATTTGGTGTCAATTGAACAATAGCATGTTGTTCTAGCGATTGTTGAAAAACTGATACTAACCGTCAAACATACTTAAAAACAGACAAAACCTGAAAAAAATATACAGGAAAATTGATCATTTTGTGCATTTTCGCACACCATTCAAAAACTAGTTCGTGAAGTTGTACTTTTTTGTGCTAACTATGTTATCTACAAAATGACACCAAATTTGTTATCCTAAGTCTTCTACGTTAAGAAATAAATGCTATCTAACATGGGTCAAAGTATACATAAAAATGACAAATCGAAGTTTTTTATAAATAGTTCAATGTCACAAAAAATTCTATGGACGGACGAAGCAAAATTTACGAGGCAGGGATCATAAACCATAGAAACGACCACTTGTGGTCTTCGGAAACCGCTCACGCAGTTCGACGGAGCACTTGCCAACAGGAATTTGATGTAAACATGTGGGCCCGAATGATCGACCGAGTGTTAGTCGGCCCAGTTGAGCTACCTCCAAGGTTAGATGGTCAGGGTTTTTTAGACTTCTTGAGTACCGAGTTTTCAGATCTACGCAACTTATCAACCGCCGCACATATGGTTGGAGCTCCCACACGCTTTTGCGCTAGAACATTTGGATAGGCAACATTCTCCATGGATAGGACGTGGAGGCATTGTCGCTTGGCCACACCGATCACCCGATTTAACGCCCCTAGATTATTTTTTCTGGGACACAATGAAGCAAAAAATCTACTGTCATGTGTCGACGACACGGGAAGAGCTCCTGGAAAGGATCCATACCGCTGTGAACGAAATTAGAGCTGACACGGATATGACCCGCTGCTCAACACGACACATTGTTTTAAGAACTACAATGTGCATAACCAATAATGAAGGACATTTTGAACAGCTTCTGTAACATTAAACATTTATAAGAAACTGTGATTTGTCATTTTTATGTATACTTTGACCCATGTTAGATAGCATTTATTACTTAACGTAGAAGAAATTTGATGTCATTTTGTAGATAACACAGTTAGCTGTAGAATTAGCACAAAAAAGTACAACTTCACAAACTAGTTTTTGAATGGTGTGCGGAAATGCACAAAATAATCAATTTTCTTGCATATTTTTTTCTGTTTTTAAGTATGTTTGACAGTCAGTGTCAATAATCTCTAGAACAACATGTTATCGTTCAAGTGACACCAAATTTATCATTCTGTGACTCTTACGTTCTCAGTTATTACAATTTTAATCGTAACGTAAAAATAAAAATGGCTGCCATTTCAAGGGGGTGAGGCATGACTTTGTAGGGAGGTGTATTTAGTGATAAAAATAGCTGAAAAATACACCCCTTAAATATCGGTATGTCGTGACCAAACACATTGTATATGCGATGTGTTATATATTCGTGATTTATGCCACTGAAATCTGCAACGACCGTTGCTCTAAAATGAACTGAAACGACTACACATACGAAACTAGTTCTCAAATTATGCCATTTCAGTTCACTGTATTTTTTGCCGATCAAGTTATGCTCCAGTTATTAGAAAAGATTGTAAAAACTAAATAATGAAATAGATGTCACAGCAAACAGATTTGAATAACAGAGACTTATATATATTCCAGAGCAACTAGATATTTATTGCTAAATTGCATTCTTCAATTATTACATTAATTTTCTCTGACAATAGAACGGTTTTTATTTTTTTACTCAAAAATGGCGCATCGAAAAAAAGCAACTCAAGAGAGATCATTATTTCTTTTAAATTGAACGAGGAATTCAAAAATAATTTTTATTTGGCAAAAACCCATTGTCGTACCATTTTTTTCTTAAAAAATATCGAAGTCAATACCAGTACGCACGCCACTGTTAAAGTTAGAAATTATTTTTGCATTGAAAAATATGCAACTTTATTAACTTTCACTACGTACTAAATATCAGTGAAATATCTGAAGCAGTTCTGAAAATATTAATTAATTTCCACTTTTTCCTAAAACTTCAACACCCCAAGTTTTGGTCAGGAAACATTTTTGGACCATAGTTTAAAAAGCAAACTAACGTTAATTTTTCATGTAGATTCACACCCTTAAAAATTCGCATATCATTAAGGAACACCCTGCAAAAGTAAAACTAAAACAATTGAAAAGGAGTGGAGAAAACACAACCACTCCCGGCACTCGCTCTGAGGCAACTGAGTCGCCAGCGAATGAGAAGCCTAGTCATGTTCGCGCCTTGCGAACCCTTTGTCGCGGGACAAAAAACCGACAACAAACGGGAACAACGCGCGAACGCGACGTGAAGCTGCGAAGAATACGCGAATGGGACCCAGACTCATGGTTCGCGGGTAGTTCGCGGCTTCGCGCGGGAGTCTGGAGAGGGCATTACACTCCTGATGTGTTACCTCCCGCATATTGTAAGGAACACTTTGAACGGCACTCGGGCGTTGTGGTGGAGGAGGTCCATGGTGGAGTCACAGTGGAGTTGGCAGCAAAGATCTTAGCAAGCACTTCCGCCTTAGCATTTGAGTCGGTTACAATCGTTCCATCCTGACACGTAAGTGGTGGAAAGCTACTCTCTGCCTAATTTTTATATCGTGCTGGTCATTGGCTTTGAGGGCTGCTTCGTTATTGGTATTTATTCCTGGACTCGACGTCGGCTTTTCTGTTCTCTTCAGTGGTGTTTGGTACGAAGGTTCTGAGTGACTAGATCTTCTGCTGACGAACAGTGACGCACGATTTGTTG